TACCCAGTCATGTCTAATGAGTTCACCTAAAGCTTGTAATAACTGCTCCCTCCAACTTTATCTGAAAGGCATGTCATAAATAATTGAAAGCAATTCTAACATGGGATAACAAAACAAAGATGGGTAAATCTAATCCATCCAAATGGCGTAATGGCATAAAGTGAGCCCAGGCACATTTAAGGTGAAGTTGGTTGAATTATTTCATCACATTCTACATGCTTCTCCACACTTATTGAAAGCATCAAAGATATCTGAATACATAATTTTCTGACCCTAGCTTTATAATTTCTTCACCTTCTCAGCTCTTACTCCCTCCCCATCATGGGGGATAAGCTGCCCACTCCATTGAACAATTCCTTTTGCCTACATACACATGAAAGCCTCATAAACCACAAACCAGGAAGATCCCAGCCTCTCTCTCTGTCATGTCTAATGTTATACAAGGTGACTGCCAAAAATATTTGAAATACGGAACTCAGTTCTACGTAGTTATTTTTTAACATCATCGCTTCATCTACCCCTTTCATTCCCTTCATCATACAGGCTATACTTGGATCACCTTCAGTACAGTGGAAGAAGGCTTCTCTAAGATCACCAATTCTGAAATTCTCTCCCTTACTGTAAACCCCTATCTTTGCTTTTTCCTCATTCTCCTGACTCCCTTTTGGAGAAATTTTTCTTCATTCTTATTTGGGAGCTCCCGCCACTGGAACCTATCTTTCTGTCATTCCTTGGATCTTCCTACTCATTATCTATCTCCAGGTTTAGCAAAGACCATGGTGCTCTCATTAGCACTTTTGATTTCCTTCCTCACTTGCACTTCCTTTATGCTTGGATTGTCAACATCCATGCCTGGTGACACTCAGATACAATTTCTCCATTTTTAATTCTGGGTGGTTGTGAATTGCTGGAGAAAGTCACTAAACCCAGCCACACATGTATGCTTGTCACACTCAAATAGATGCTGTCTCCTACACAACCATGCTCTCACTCTTCTCCTGTTGACAGTATGGCACCCTGGCCACAGGGCCTGTTCCAAACCTTTCCAGGCCCCTTAAACCAAGTACTCAAACCTGAGAAAGTCACAGCTATCAAACATAGAATTTTATTTCCCCAAAAAAGCCTCAATGATTCTCTATACTTACAATAATTCTTTTGTCTCCTTACAACCCTCCCCAAATTTAAGAGGAACAAGTAAGCTTCGCCTCTGAAAAGTAATCCATCCACCAAGCTTTGACCTCATCTCCTTCTGTCCAATCCAGTGCACTAAACTCTCAGTGTCTTTAGACTTGACCACTCCACTGGACAGCTCCTTTAGCCCACATATGTGCCAAAGCCTCACAGACCACAACCAGGACAGTCCCGGCCTCCCTCTGTTCTTTCTGATAATATACAAGGCAACTTCCAAACATGTTTGAAATATGCAACTTGGTTCTGTGTAGTTATTTTTTAATAGAAAATATCTTCCTTTTATCTACATTATGTCACACAGGCTATTCCTGCTTCTTGTCAAACCACAGTTAACCAACTAAGTGGGCATTTGAGGGGTCTCTGTAGACCTACGTCTGTTCTCCTCAGCTTCTGCTGATGACTTCCATGCTTACGTCATTCCATATAAAATTCTAGTAAATTCTGCTACAAAGTTCTCTTCTTTGAGCTTGATCTCCATCTATTCTCCCGGCCTGAAAAATTCTGACTCTCTCAGTAAAGAGCCTACTATGCATTTTAAAGCATAATTCCAATCATTCCTTTTGTAGAGATCCTTTTCAGAAAGAGATGAGATTCCAAATCTACCCATAGCATGTTTTTAATATATTATATACATCCTTCTAGGTATTACACACATATGATGCCTGATTCCCTCAATAACACTGTGAAGCTGAAATTGCTTTATTATCCTCCCTTTACGGAGGATGGAATTAAGGCTCAGAGCAATTGTGACCTGCTTACAGGTGCAGTGCTGGTAAGAAGTGAAGGCACAATCTGAGCAAAGGGCTTCTGACTCCAAAGCCCTCAGTCTTTGGGCTACCTCACAGCTTCCCCGTGATGTTTCAAGTGGTGGCATTACATTATTAGAAGAAATAACAAGATCCTGGTTGGTCTCAGGAGAAAAGCATCACGTGTTTCTTAAAATCTCACCTCAGGCATTGCCCTCACTGAGAATTAGCGAAATAAACAAGAGCAACAAGGCAGAACAGTGTATCAAGTGGAACTTAATTTCATTTTTTGCTAGGCCTTTAGAACCAAAATCTTAAAGTGGTTATTCAAACAACTTCTAACTAAAGAAATATTTTATTTATTATGATATCATTGTAGTTATTGCTTTTCACTTTAATTTTTTAGAATGTGTGAATGTGTTACCAAATTTAAAATATTAAAGAGCTGCCCCTGATACAAATAAGAAGGAAACATGAAAAACAGGACCTTAAAACCCTGATAAATTATAGTTGATGAACAAGATTAGGAAGTGAAGCATCTGTGGTGATTTAGTTAATAAGTCTCATTTCATTCAATGCGTGCTTTGCCTGCTAGGAGCCCTCTGTAGCATAACACTTTGGTGACCTTTCAGGTAACAACATGATAAAGGACCCTTTCCTATAAAGGATTATGTTTTCCTAACCAGAAAAAAAAATCTCAGAGTCCACCCAGGGATTTTATCGCAGACTGAGTACCTAAGTTCACATAGTCAGCTTGAATTGCTGCCACCAAGTAGGGCTTGGTGGGAGAAAGGTGGTTCTTTTCAATTGGGCCTATGGTTGGTTATGTTCTAAATTCCTTTTGTGCACCTGGAAGTAAGTACCCTTGAAATTCATACTTGCAGACATAATGGAAAGACACTATTTTCATAGGACCACACAAATTATTTAATGTCTTTCAATGAGTTCTTCTAAATATTTAAGCTTAATTTTTGGTGAACTGCTTTTTAAAATTTCCCCTCATGGCTTTTTCCAACTTTGTCTCCAAAAGGGAGTATGTTGACTAGTGGCTTTGTCATTAAGAACTAAGGAACAATTTTGAAATTACCAAGTACCAACTCCACTATGAATGTTTTTAAATCATAGTTATTAAACTGATATGGCACTTTACTAATTTTAAATGATTCAATCTCCCTATGTTTCCATAGGTCAGTAGGTGTAAACATATCCATATTGCAGATAGGAAAACTAAGGCCAAGAGAAAACACTGAACACTTGCAAAGAAAATAATAACATTCCTAAGTTGTCCTTTGGAGGTAACAGATAAGTCTATTATCTTGATTGTGGTAACAGTTTATGGGTCTGCAAATGCCCAAGCTCATCAAATTGTATACATTAACTATGTGTACTTTCTTATCAATTATATCTCAATAAAGGTCTATTTTAAAAAAAATTTTCCAAGTTGTCTTCAGAGAACCAAAAGTCAATCTCTCCAACAAAGCAGAGATTGTGCAAGTACAAATTTTATTTTGTCAGCTACTATGATACAATAATGGTAGATGCATGTCATACATGTGTCAAAACTCATAGAATGTACAACATCAAGAGTGAACCCTAATGTAAACTATGGACTTGGTAATTATGTGTCAATGTAAGTTATCGATTGTGACAAATGAAGCATTCTGGTGCAGGATATTGACAGTTGAGGAGGTTGTATTTCTGTGGGGGACAAGGAGTATATAGGAATTCTCTGTACTTTCCACTCAATTTTGCTATGAACCTAAAATTGCTCTAAAAAATAAAGTCCTTTAAAAAAAAAAAAAAGATTTCCCCCCACACAGATACCATGGACTTTATATTATTTCACATCTTGCTCCAATTCCTAACACCCTAGGCCTACGATATTAACAAGAGAACAAAAATTAGGCAAAGTAAGTCAATAGAATAAGATACTAGAAAAAGTAAGAGTATCCCAGGGCATCCTAATTGTCTCTATTTCCCTTTCTTTCTCCTTCCTGTCATGTATTTCGTCAGCCGTTTGTTGCTTTGCCTCCTTTATCCCCACCACATGACATCTATTTCCACAAATGAAGAAAAAAAAAAAAATCAAAACTTTTTCACAGTATTCTTAGAATTCCCTTTTCCAGATACTAATGCTGCCAGAACCTGGAGTTATAAAGCAACCATTTATTTTGCTCATAGATTCACTGGGTTAAGAGACAGGCCACAGCGGGGATAGCTTGTCTCTGCTCTCTTATGTCAGGGACTCAAGAATCTTCCAGCCAGTGGGAAGATACCAAGATCAACAGCTGGGTAGAGTCATTTAGAGAATTATTTTCTCCACACATCTGACTGTGGATAATGGCTATCAGCTGGAGCCTCAGTGAGCCCATCAGCTGAAACACATCAAGGTCACACATGTGTAACACCATGTGGAACAGGAAATGTTGTTGCAACCATTTTGGAAAATATAATCTGCCACAGTAATGCTTGTTATAGCTTACTGTATTTTAAATATCTGGGAATATATTGCATTTGAATATTTGGTTAGACTTCGCTCCACATCTTTGCCCCTGATTGTTTCAGATTGTAAGCCACAGGAGGACAAAGACAGTTACGTTAACTCACATGAGTTCCACCACAGCACCTTGTACTTGATAATCATAACACATATTATTACTAGCACTGCAATGGCTGATCGATGCATGCACTTGAGTGATCATTATTTTATGCTATAACATTTGTAATGTATTACAGAAAATCTCCAGGCTAACCAAAAAGGCACATAGCATCTTTAATGCACAAGGGAATTTTATTGCTCCAATTAGGTTCTTGTTGTTTTTTCTCCCCAGTGAATAGATTCTTGTAAAGCAGTAACTGAATCTCACAGTTGCAGGGGGTGGGGAATCACTACCCTGAAGGAACTATCTTGGAACTAATGTTTCTGTTTCTTCACAAATTTTTTACTTTCAGTAGGTTAGTAGATCATTAAAAGGTTTATATTAGTAATCTGTGTGAAGCTTTGATCATGAATGTTTACCTCTTCTGAAAAGTTAACTAATGAAGGTAATTGTCCCTCTCCAGTTGATTTCATAGGTGGCTTTGACTCTTATGGCTATCAAGGTCCTCAGAAGACATCTCATTTACAACTACAGCCTATGTACATGTAAGTACTTTGCCTTGAAGGTATTCTGGAATACTAAAAGATGATCGAGTAAATGTATCATGGCACAAAATAGATGGCATGCAACTTTCTGCTTCAGTTATATACTTCCAATATTTTCTCTTCTATTAATATTGTCTTGACTGGGATAATTCTAACATTTTATTCGTGATTTTTTAAAAATTTGATTTATCAGAAATGCCATCTTTAAAGTTACCTTTAGTCTTATCATAAGTATCACCTATGTGGCTCAAAAGCCAATATTATATACCACTTCTTTGAATTACCCAAAAGTTCTATATTTTGAAAATGATATATAACATTGTAGGCAGTTATATGTAACTCTATATAAGCCATATGTTCTGGTTTTTTCTAGTATAGCCTCAGTTTACACTGGTTATCATAGTATACTTATTACCAACCCTCCATATTACTCTCAAAAGGGTACTCATTTACAGGATAAATGATAGGTTCACCCTACTTCTATACAGTGCTCAAAAAAATCAAAAACTGAGCAGTACTATTCTCTATCATTTTTCTGATGTGAAAGTGAAAATGAACTGGAACATTAACACTGAAATTTATCGAACCCTTAACTCTAGCACTCAAGAGAGCAGACATACAATCAGAGCCTGATTTTTATATCTGTGTTTAGGCAAATTCCCTTGGATAACAACTGATAACAAATTCTATATATCAGCATCAAGTGATATGCTGAATTGCAAGCGAAGATCAAAATAGAAAGTAAGATTCCATTCATTTTAAAATGTGAACTTCTCTTTGAAGATATGTGTTTGTTGTCGTTGTCCTCCACCATTAAGTCATATTACCTTTTAATATCTTTAGTGTGTAGGATAATAAATGGAGTTTTAGAGTATTTCTCCTCCAAAAGATTAATCTTTAGACACCCCTTTTCAAGCTTCTCTTTAAAAAGAGAATTAACTATGCATTGTGCCTACCTTGTTCTTTGGGTCCCCTGTAGTTCTCTGAAATTATTTGCTAACACTACCCATAAAAAAGACTTTATCAGTTCAGAAATCGGCCAATACTTGGCTTTATTTAAAGCATTGCTTCTGTAAATAGTATATCACACATTCTCTTATTTACATTCTCACAACCACTGTCCTATTCAAGCACGCATGACCTGTTAAGTTTTCCAGTTTATTTTAGAACCTCTATCGTATTTGCCACATGGCTGCCAAATTAATCTGCCTAAAGTACAATTCAATTGATTTCACTTCCCTGCCCAAAAACTATCAATGACTTCCTGTTACCTACTGAACAAAGTTCCAACTCCTTACCACAGCCTGCAAGTCCACTCTAATCTGCCCTCAATATTCTATTAAAATACTATCTCTTCTCTGTAAATCTTAATAACTTTTGAGTTTCGACCATATGCAAATGATGCTGAGAGATACAGAAAAGTGTAATAAGAATAAGAATTGGGCTTGTCCTCCTGAAGTTTATACTCTATTTATGGCAGAAATAGTCTAATACCTCCTCTCAAACATATTTTCCAGCCAAACAAACTCTTACCTTCTTCAGATATGACATGTATTTTTCCAATGGTCCATACTATTCTTGTGATACCAAACATAATCTTTTTTTCCAAATTCTACCCTTTGAAACCCCACTGTCCTTTGAATCTTATCTTAAAATATATTTCCTTTAAAACTTCTCTTTCACTTCTTTTGCCATGTACTATAGTTGTTTGCTATGTATACCATACCTTCCCTATCATCCCGGAAAGACTTGGTAGCTACCATAAAAACAAAATAAATCCTTTATATTCTTTACTATTCTTCTCAATATTTTTATTGTAACCTTTTTTTAAAGTGTTCTATTTTTAAAAGGCAAAGCAATAAGGAGTAGTGCTTATAGTGATCTATTATTGAAGGCAGACTGCCTAAGATTAAATTCTGTATGACCTTGGGCATATAACTCTATTTGAATAACTATATTTAATTTCATCAAGCCTAAGTTTTCTCACCTGCAAAATAGAGATGATAATATGCACACTTTCTATAATTATTCTGAAATTATATGAAATGCACATAAAGCACATGAAATGTAGGACATGTCACATAGTAAGTGCTTAATACACATAATTTGTTAGTAGTATAAATAATGCTTATGTTAACCATCACTCATGAAAAGACTTTATCAAGTCAGAAACCAGCATATACTATATGTAATTCCCAAAGAATCTCTTCTGTAAAAAATATTTCACATATAGTATCAGCCCAAGTAACCTGTAACAGTATGTGCTTAAGAGCAGAGCAAAACATCCGCAAGGTTTGCAATTGCTTGCTTCTGACAATGTCACTTAATATTTCATTATGTTGATCAATATGAATGATTACTAAATATGACCAAGCTATAATAAATTAGATGTAACCCCTCACATAAACATCAGCTATGATAATAAGATAACATGAGCATGCTAATTATATGTAATCAAGTATATTGTTTCAAATCAAGCATTTATAATTCTAATGTTGCCTTAAAGAGGGGATGCCACAAAGATAGGGATCTTTGTCCAGAATTAATTTCCTTGAGGACAAAACTTCCAGTAAAATAGAACACTTTAACTATTTTGTTAAATAGAACACTTTAAATTCCAACTAGTTAATAGAATTCAAATTTAAGCAGTTATAATTACTTAAGGTACATGAAAAATTACTAGTCAAAATGCTACTACCATCCCTTCCACAAAACATCCCATAGAAGACCCCAAACCCTAGAACACTACAATTTTATTTTACAGATGGGGAAAGTAAAAAAAGAAACAAAAGTCACACAGCTTGTTAGTGATGCAGCCAAAGTTATCAACCAGTTTTCCTGACCCCTTAGTTCAGTGTTCTTTCTAAATTCCTAAATGGATTTTAAGTTTGGCCTGATATCATATTCCCTGGTTTTTGCTTTACTTAGTCTTCACACTCACTTAGCCACCATATTTTCATACATCACTGTGCCCCTTCCCTTTTCTGCATTCCCTTTATTCCCTTTTCATGTTACATTATGTACTGTTGAATGAAGGGCCTTTTCAACTTTGTAACTCCTCTGAGAGCCACTGCCTATTCAAATCTGGTGAAAAACCAAAACTGATTCACCTATAAACCTCATTCCCTGCTGAGAGGCAGAGACCTGAGCATCTCCTATGTCTTTGTCATTTGGAGTGTGCCTTCTCCTGTCAACCTGCCATAAATATGTCTTGTAAAGTAAGTGTAATTTAACATCAGGGGCCAGTTCAAGCACCCTAACAATATTATATAGCAACTGAAAATAAAAGCTGTTCCTTTGAAGGAAAGCAAATGTTAAAAAGCAACATGCAGTTTTAGCTGTAGGGCTCCCATTGTACCCAGAAAATCTGTGGTCAAGATCCTGAACAAAGCTTTGAAAATACTGCCATAACTGACTTACAGTTGCAGCTGTGTTTCAGTTCCTGTACTAAATGAATAGATGGTCCTCTTTATTTTTCATTAAGTTGGGTGAATGTTCTTGGTTTGCAATTCTTCAGATTATCTATAACCCATCTGAAAAGGAAAGATTTTCCTTTTTTTCCCTTAAAGTTTGGTAGACCTCTTTGAAATAAATTAATAGCTATGAAGTTGCTGCACAAAAAAATTCCCCTGTCCACACATTAATTTTCTAACAAAGGAGCTGCTGTGACTACCACTGACCTATGTGCCATAGTGAGTATAGATCTGATTGGATTCCCTGCAGTATAAGAATATCCTATGGTACATTCGACAACATTTTAAAAACATTGCATTCTTTTTGGCAGCCTAATCGTACAGAAATACATATTTATTTCATTGGTCCCCAGAAATAGATTTTAAATCACCATAAGTAGCCTCTCTACCTAGAGGGTTGCACTGAGAAAAAAGAAAAGGAGAGGAAAATTGGGGGAATTTGTCTATTTAAAACCCAAATGGGGATGCTTTTTTGTTGTTGTTTTGTTTTTTGGAGTTTTTTTTTTTTTTTCTCTTGTGCTTGGAGAGGTGAGAAAAGGTGGTGAGCAACAGGCACCCATTGCTCTCCCGCTTGATTAAAAACATCTTTTCTCTCTCTTAGGTCAAAATAACACAGATGGCTTCAGTATGTCAGCCCATGGACCTTTCAAAGAACTTGTTTCGCAGTGGCCTCCTGCATTTTATGAAGAACAAGAAGCAACCGAGTTTTAATATGTATACATATTAACAAAAGAAACACAAAGCCTCTACAGATACTGAGACCCTCGCGGACACACACACACACACACGCACACGCACACGCATACACGAGCACGCACACACCAATTCCACTTGACCTCCTCTTTCTAACTGAAACAAATATGCAGGACACGCCCATCTCGGATTTCCTGAAAAGCAGGCTCCTTTCTCCCAGGCCTTTGGAAAGTTCAAAAGGAGATGTGATGGTGCCCTCTGCTGGCCGTTACTAACTCCTCTGCAGCCCAGCCAGTCGGCCTCTGTGAGCTGCGAAGTCATCCAGGGCACATTAGTTTGCGAGCTCTGTCTTCTGCACTCCGTACATCTTGATAGCACCACGGCTACTTAGGCAGTGTAATTGCAAAAACTAACAAACAAAACAGGCCATGATGACCTTGTAACCGAAGTCCGCGATGGCAGATTGTTTGCCTGAAAGGCTGTACCGTACATACTTGCCTTAACCCCACCTACGTTGTGTGCCCGAGAATCTCAGTGCAGACATCCCCAAATCACTTCCTTTAGGCTAACACACTGCTATTAATTCTGAATGAGTTCGAGTCTGTGTGTTTCATGTCAAGGAACAGCACTGAATAGTGCAGCAGCTCCAGTGTAGAGTGTGTCTGTAAAAGAAAACTGCCAGCTGTCAGCAAAGTGCTTTACCATTAGAGCCTCCCTGGTGGCCAAAAAGAGACAAGTAACAATAACAACAACAGTAATAATCGTCGTCTTTATAATTCTTAAATATGGTCGTCTGATGGGGTTAGGGTGGGACAAAGTAAAACTTATTAATCTACTAAACTCATTAATCTATTGGAAGCAGAAAGCAGAAATGGCTTAACTCACTGATTTTATTTATTGCACTCTAGGTGCTTTTATAAGTATCTGCAAACGTCTTTTACTAACACAGAAACAGCTGTGGATTTCTATCAACAGAGGCCAACTGAATATGTATTAGCTATGTTTACTCTTTTATATCTAATTCAAATTGAAGACCCTATGTAGGTGAACTTTTTTTTCTAACTAGCGTACGAGATTATTTTTTGGGTGGGTGGGGGGAGCAATAGTTACCTTGGTGAAATATTTGAGATCTCTTTGTGGTATTTGGGGGATCCGTTGTGTGTTAGAGTGTATTTCAATCCTCCTGTATTATTGTGGCAGAAAAACTGTGCTGTTAACGTAGTTGGCAACAAGATGCCTTTGGAAACTTAATAGTAGGTCAATGTGTTTATGAAATATTCTGAACTCCTAGGAAATTTTGTTCTATATTTTCAAGCATTATTTGGTTTTCATGAGTAGAAAACATACTTAGCTCAGGCTTATCAGGAACTCAGATGAGTCATTTTTTTTTTCTTGAATCCACCTTTGACACTAAAATCTCTTTTTTTTAAAAGTAACACACCATCCTTAAGTACAGTGAAATTCAGAAGTTATAAATTGGCATGGATCAAGTTCTCTTCTTTGGTTTCTATGAAGTTTCAGTTATTGGGTTAACCTATTTTGGACCTTAGCCCAACCAGAACTGCATAAACCAGTCCCATTACTGTGTTTGCATGGATGTCTGTAATATACACATACATATACATTTGAAAATGATAAAGGAACAAAGACTTATCATTGGAACATAAACTAAAAAGAAGATTCCAGCACTTGTGCTTGAATTTTCTCAGTGGCTTGTATATGTTTGTCCATACATACATGTATAAAGTATACAATTGCAAACATGTCAGTGAAACCTCATATGATGTTTTTATGGTGACATGCATGTTTAATGTATGAGAAAAATATTTACCAATGTATTGTCCTTTAATTCCTAAAATATAAATACTATACATGCCAGAAACTATTCTAACGTGACTTTTAATGTGACTATTAAAATGAGGTTTCACTGTACATTCATGCTGTGATGAGATTTCAGCATGTACATGTATATGGATACAGAAAATAAGCCCTCATTTTCCTGCTTTAAGTTACAGCCAAGTTACCACCAAATCACAACTATCATCACCACCAAAATTTTCAAAAACAGTTGTTGACTACTAAAAGGTAATCAGTGGACAGGTCTTTTTTGGGAGCAGTAAGCACAGTGGTGTGATTATATCTGGGAAAACATCTAAGTTGTACAGCTGTATCCTCCTCAAAATCCGGTGAAGAATGCTATTTTTCTAGGCTGAGCTTTTGTTATAAACCTAATATTCAGAAGGCAAGAGTTACAATCCTGATGTGTCTTTTTTTTTTTTTTTGCATTTGTTAATTCTGAATGTATTTTTAACAGAGTGATTTTTTTGACTTACTAGTGTAATTTGCATTTTAAAAATAAATGGAAAAACGATTATGTTTCCGAGCCATCCCTAAGCCCCTGCGCTTCTCGCGGTGTATTTCCTTATGTCATTGAAAGGGAAACGCTATTAAATTTACATGAAGGCAACGCTGATGCTCTGTGCAGTGCAGGGATGTGTCAGCAGTGAGACGAAATTGCCAGGTCACGGCACCATTTTTGCTCAGTCATAGGTAACATGTCCTTTCATTATCTCCTGACACTGAGGGTTCTTTTAGAAGACTGCCTGCAATGGACTTGCTGTCATTTGGAGACGTTCTTTGTTTCCTTCTATCTGGGATGTAGAGTTAGCATCAAGCTAATGGTTGATAGAGGTGTATGGACACTATATTAAAGACCTTCGGTTAAATTGTAGGTAGAATTTTTCATTTTGATAGGCCAAATTATTTTCAATAAAATAATTTAAAATACTCATTTATTGCCCCTTTGATGACAGAATCTTTTTCGTTGTTGTTGTTAGAATATTGTTATTCACCTCAATAGAAGACAACTATTGTGAAGCATGTTGGCATAAAGTGGGCAAATAGAAAAGGTTGACCCCTGCATTAATGATTGCAAACATAATTTCAGCTGAGGTTCATTGTATGTACCAAAAGGTTCAAGGGCAGCAGGCACAGGCTGCTCCAGGCTCAGGCTGCTGGTGAGGTTGTATCCTTCCTCCCACAGCCCACAGACATACACCAGCCCCCGTCAGTCAAAATGCTGAAGTTGATCAAAAACAAGGAAGGCTTTGGGCAGTGTTCTAAGAAGCTGAAGATCAACTTCTAATACTTGACTTCTCATCCCACATGGTGAGAATCTTATAAATGATCAAGCCTACTTTTACTTTTGTTCCCTGCGTGAAAAGTATACTGATGTTCATTGAAGTGGATGTGAATGACTCAGGATATTTCTTTGCACTGTGAAGTCAAATGCACACAACATCTCAGTTGCATGTAAAGGGATAGAATGAATAAATCAAATACATATGCATTTTCAAGATACGAAAATGCACACACACACCCTCTTTAAAAAGATTCCCTCTTCTGGAGTTCCCGATTAAATAAATTGTGAATTTGGTAAATACTATAATAGATGGAACCAAGATCTGCATTTGGCAACTATTAAAAAATATAACCTCTAATACAGTGAAGCAAATATTCAACATCTCACTGTACTATAACGAGTGGACCCCTTTAATTCAGAAATACACACTCATTTTAAATAATAAAGGTCACATTGTAAAACAAAAGCTTGAGATCCAAATCTATTCATTATAGAGACAGTAAATTAAGGCCTAGAGAGTTTAAGAAACTCAAGAGGTCAAGATTAACCATAAATCCTGAAAATGCAAATAACTTACAATTCTACAACAAATTCTAGGATGTGTACTCTGGTCAGAATAGAATAAATCAAATATCAGATACTGGCAACTGACCCTGGATTTTATAAATTCAAATTAACCTTGATAAGAAAGACTCTAGGCAGTATTAAACCATAAAATGCTCCTGAATTATTGTTTTTAGGTTTAGTATAGTTTCATTGTCAAATATATTTTATCATAGTTATTTTAAAAACCAATAATCCATGTTATGTAAACATGTATATATGATATGGCCTCATATGTTTAATATTACTCAATTATGTTCAGGCTTAGGGTTAGAAGTGCTTCTTTTACAGTACACTTATGAATAACTAATATTAGAGAGATAAAGATTATCTAAGCAGTCCTATCTTGAGTACTTCCTATACTTGTCAAGATAATCTTTCTTCAGACATTGTATCTGTCTTTGCTAAAATTTTAGCACTCAACACTTGTACTCAGGAAGATTTGATATGAATATCCTTACATTGTAAAATCCTCAATTATTGTCATCACATATGAATCTTTGCTTAGGATCCATGTCTAATCCTCTCTTCATTTTATTATATCTATCTTCTACCCACTCCCAATAAAGAAAGCAAAAAAAAAAATCTGTGATTGGTATATTATGTCCAGTTTAAAACACACTGGTATATTAAAATAATCACTTTTGATAGCTATGAAAGCAAAATTTCTAAGACATTAATGTATTCTATGCCTTTTAATTCGACAAGAATTGAACTTGCACTAGATAATACATTCAGGGATCACATTTACCACTGAAATCTGCACCCGAATCATGAGTTATGATTGCCAGTGGCAACAAAGAAAACGAAGCTGAATTCCTCCTAAAAGGGATAAAGGCAGATATTTTTTATACTCTCTAGAATTATAATGAGGTCATTTTTTAAAAAAATCTTTACACATCCTGGAGTTTAGAAGCAAATGAGCTTAAGATGTTGATGGGTAATGAGAGCTGATTTCTGTAAGATAAATTCAGAGAGGAAAAATCCTTTTACAAGCCACATGTTATGCTCTTACATGGTCAACTGTTATTAAAATTAATATGAGCCTTTTCTATAATAAGAGTACCTTAATAAAACACGTATATTTTTTAACTGCTCATTCTGCTCACATATGAATTTAAGCTGTAACTGCAATGGAACAAAACAACTCCCAAAAAAGATTGCAAATTGATGCTGTCACCCCAAGGATGATAGATTGATTCAATTAATCAGTAAGTCTTTCCTAAGAGTCCTTCAGGGAGGTATTTACCAGAGGCATACCCTGTTTATTCCCTTTCATGAGCCTGTCATTTTTCTTCATTATTCTTCTAGTTTTACTCATTATATCTCTTGGGGATATGCTGATCGCCGTGTGCAGAAGGTTTTACACACAGCTGTCTGGACATAAATCTTCCAAGCTTCAAACTGGAGGCCACCAGAACACCTGCGTCTCTTGTCATTGTTAACTCTGACTTACCTAGATGCTCTCGGGAGGAAGTCAAATGAATGGACACTGACTCACAAATGGTAAATCAATGGGAAAGTATCAAACTGAGTGAAGGCTATGAAAAATCCTCCATTCATAAAGATGCAACAACCTGTGCTCCACACACCATGGACCTGGCCTCGCTATATGACATCCCTGTCTCTAAAAGCAGATAGGTAGGGAAAGACAGAGGGCTACGAGGCTGAGACCTATGCCAGTAATTCATGGTAAAACAAAACACATTTGGTGATTGTGTTGTTTTGGATGCTGAAAGATAAATAAATATTCTTAAACATGAAACTTTTCTATTTCTAGGGGGCCAAATCCTCTGTCAGTTTATTTATTTATTTATTTATTTATTTATTTATTTATTTATTTATTTTTGAGACAGAGTCTCACTTTCTTGCCCAGGTTAGAGTGAGTGCCGTGGCGTCAGCCTAGCTCACAGCAACCTCAATCTCCTGGGCTCAAGCAATCGTTCTGCCTCAGCCTCCCAAGTAGCTGGGACTACAGGCATGCGCCACCATGCCCAGCTAATTTTTTCTATATATATTAGTTGGCCAATTAATTTCTTTCTGTTTATAGTAGAGACAGGGTTTTGCTCTTGCTCAGGCTGGTTTCGAACTCCTGACCTCAAGCAATCCGCCTGCCTCGGCCTCCCAGAGTGCTAGGATTACAGGCGTGAGCCTCTGTCAGTTTATGTTGTAAAGAGTAAGGATTCTACTTCACACCTGTTAGGATGGATATTATCAAAAAGATAAAAGATAAATGTTGGCGAAGATGTGGAGGAAAGGGAATACTTGTACACTGTTAGTGGGAATGTATAGTGGGTAGTATAGCCATTATGAAGAATAGTATGGAGGATCCTTAAAACATTAGAAATAGAGCTACAATAAGATCCAACAATGTCACTACTGGGTATATATTCAAAGGAAATGAAATCAGTATATTGAAGAGATATCTGTGCTCCCATGTTCATTGTAACATTATTCACAATAGCCAAGATATGGAATCAACATGTGTCCATCAACACGTGAGTAGATAAAAGAAAATGTAGTTCATACAAACAATGGAATACTATTCAGCCTTAAAAAAGAAAATGTTGTCATGTGAGACATCATGGATAAACCCAGAAGACATTATGTTAAGTGAAATAAGCCAGACACAGAAGGATAAATACTGCATGATCTCATCTAGATGTGGAATCTAAATGAGTTGAATTCATAGAAGCTAGTAGTTTGTTGAGGATTTTTGCATCTATGTTCATAAGGAATATTGGACTATAGTTTTCTTTTTTTTTTTTTTTTTTTACCCTTTCTTGGCTTTGGTATCAATGTAATACTGGCTTCATAGAATGAGTTAGGGTGGATTCCCTGCTTCTTGATGTTATGGAATAGTTTCTGTAGAACATGTACCAGTTCTTTGTAGGTCTGGCAGTATTTGGCTGGAATTTGTCTGGTCCTTGTTTATTTTCGTGTCGCCAGAGTTCTTTTGCTGGTTATTCTCATCTAAAACATTTTCTTTCAGGTCAGGGCACAGAGGTGTACAGCACAACTGTTGTTCTTTGCTGGGAACTCGCCTTTTTTATGTTGTAGGAAGATTTTTTATTACTCTTTCAATCTCACTGGTCATTTTGGTATGTTCAGAATTTTTATTTCTTCCTGAATTAGGGTAGAGAAATTATGTGTTTCCAGGAATTTATCCATTTCCTTTAGGTTTTCTAGTTTGTGTACATAGAGATTTTCATAATATTCATGGATGATATTTTATATTCCTGTGGTATAAGTTGTATTATCTCCTTTTTCATTTCTGATTGAGCTTATTTAAGTACTTTCTCTTTTATTTCTGGTAGTCTGGCCAGTGGTCTACTGATTTTATTTATCTTTTCAAAGAAACAATTTTTTATTTCATTTATCTTTTTTTGGCTTCCATTTCATTTAGCTCTGTTCTGAGCTTTGTTATTTCCTTTATTCTGCTTGATTTGGTTTGCTCTTCTTTTTCTAGTTCTTTGAGATGTGACATTAGGTTGTTAATTTGTGATCTTTGTCTTTTTGATGGAGGCATTTAAGGTTATGAACTTTCCACTTAGGACTGCTTTTACGGTATTCCATAGATTTTGATAGTTTTTGTACCCTTTGTCATTCAGTTCAAGGAATCTTTTGTTTTTGAGTAGAATGTTTTATAAATATCTCTTAGGTCCATATGGTCTAGAGTCCCATTGAAGTCCAGTGTTTCTATTGACTTTCTCTTCAGTAATCTGTCTAGCTCTATCAGTGGGTATTAAAGCCCCTGGCAATTACTATTTCTATGTATAGATCTAGCAGAATTTGCTTTATGAATCTGGGAGCTCCAGTGTTAGGTGCATACATATTTAGGATTATTATAGCTTCTTGTTTAATTGCTCTCTTTACCATGATATAATGACCATCTTTGACTTTTTTCACTCTTTCTGATTTAAAGTTTATTTTATTTGTTCAAGGTTCATTGCTATAGATCCATTGTGATCTCTTGGAGATGTTGAACTAGCTTGTTTTTTTCATGTTGCCAGAGTTCTTTTGCTGGTTATTCTCATCTGAAACATCTTCTCTCAGGTCAGGGCAGAGAGATGTACAGCACACCTGTTGTCCTTTGCTGGAAACTCACCTATTTAGTGAGAAGAAGAGGTCTCTAGAGGGTGCTTTTGTGATGTACTCTGGAAGATTGACCCAACATGAGAGAAGTGGATGTACTGAGAGCCTTAGTGTAGCTGATCTGTGACTGTCATAGTCCAAGCCTGTGCTAAATGATAGCGCATAGTAGTGGGTTGTTCCCCAGGCCACTTTTGAAAGCTCGGGTTGGGAGCTGGGTGAGTCTTTCTCCATAGAAACTGATGTTGTGAGAGATTGGTCTGCCTGGGTCTCCCTCAAGTGGTGACAGTGGCAGCTGAGTGAGGTTATCTAGGCAGTGGTCATGGGTGTCAGAGCTGGGGGGTGATTGTTTCAACTGAGTCCAGGTGCAACAGTAGCTCAAGACTAGTGGGTCACTGGCTGAGCTGGACCACTGGGACAGTTTCTGCCAGGCAGCTGGTAGGAGCCATGGAAGTATGGCTGTGGGGGCTGGCATCAGTGCTGGAGCCTTGGGGTTGGAGCCACGGTCCCAAAGGCAGCAGGGTAGCCTCAGAGCCAGGGCCACAGAGCCCAGCATGGGCATTGGACTCTCGGGAGCAAAGTGGTAGGACAACAGCAGCAGGGGTGACTTGGAGCAGGGGCCACAGGCCTACCAGTGGCACTGGAGCCTCAGAGGCAGAGCCACAAAGCCTGGCGATGCTGCTGGAGCCTTAGAAATACAGCCATAGGACCTATGGCAGCAAGGAAGCCTGGGAGCTGGGGCAGTGGGCCCAGTGATAGGGCCTGGAGCAATGGCACTGGACCCTTGGGGGCGGGGCTGGGCAACAGTACAGGAACCATGGGCAAAGAGCCGTGAGGCCAGTTGGCAGCTTGGGGATCACAAGGAAGAGGCTGCAGGGCCAACCTGCTGGTCTGCCAGGGCTCTCACCCTGCCCAGGTCCCATAGAGGCAGCCGCCATAGGGTTTCTCAGGTGGCATCTGTGGCACCTGATCTGTTCAGATCCCCCATTGGGGCAGAAGTGCTGAGCTCCCCATCACAGGGCATGCGAGAGTGTCCACTATCCCTGCTCCCTCAGGCCAAAGTGCCCGTGGGGGGAGCCTCATGCCCAGGGGTTTTCTCCTGCCCTTCCCCACATATGGGTACCTCTGCCAGCTACCTTCCAATCCTGCTGAGTGGATCACATCATCACCTTTTTCTTCACTCTGAATGTCCCTCATCACTTCTCCAATGATTTACAATGATCTTTTCAAGAAGGCCCATCCATAGGTGGGCATTCACTTGCAACCTTTGATCCTCTATATCTCTGGAGAGGTGCATGTGGCTGCTTCTAGAATGCCATCTTGCCTCTCGTCTTGTTTTAGTTATCTAAATTTTAATTTTAATTTTGTCTGAATTTTATTTTAAACTAAAATGTACATAATGACATTTTAATGTTTCCCCTGCCATTTCCTATAATTTGTAGAGGTTGTAGAAGAAACCAAAAGTGGCTTCATGATTTGCATATAATTCAAAAAACCTGCTTATCTATTGTATTGCTATATCTTCAATTACAAAAAAAATGATTTTTAAATTGTCTTCCTCGTTAATAATTTATTTATCCAAAGTTTCATATGATAATAAAGTTATTTCCTATATACTGTTAGTGCTACAATATTTAAGTTTAATTTCTATCTGTATGCTTGTGGATACATGTTTTGGAATGTTACATCAGTTTTCAAAACCAGTGACTCTAAACTCCTTGCGTAATTCTAATTCAGCTAATACTTTGACAGGCATTATCACAAAGTCCATTGTATGCTTTCATTTTTTAATGAATTACTTATAGAGTTCCCTGCTTGAGCACCAAAAGTTCCTGTCCCAGCACTAAACCAGAGAACATTCGTGCAGAAGATGCAGGGGGACTGGCTCTCCTGGGAGCATAATGGTCAAGTTAGCTTCTCATAGTTTACAACCGCATCCCCTGCTTTCTCCGAATACAGCTGCCACTTCTGCTACTGCTGCTGCTGCTGCTACTGCTGCTGTCACCTCTGCCAATCTGGTCCCAAGTCACACACTCAGCCCAGCGGCTCCTCGGACCACCCTGAGGCCTATGTGTGCATGCCAGGTAGTCAGACCAATCATTCTGAACCCTGCACACTGTACCCAGGGGTGAGAGCCAGTGCCATCGGCTACTGCTACTGGATCACAAACATTTGTGTGGCTCTCACACAACAGAGGGTTCCCCTCTGTTTACCACATACTCAAAAATAATATAGTAGGAATTTCATGAAAATGACTGTAGAGCGTTAAACCAAGCACCAGACCACTCTGAGCATGGGAGCTGTGTACAGTTGTACATGCTCCATGCCTATGAAAACCAGCCCTACTTGCTATAAGAGCCAAGAGTAAAGTTTCAATCCACCCCTACTGCCACTTCACCTTTATCCCCAATTGGTTACTGAAATAAATGGAATTAAGACATATATTATTTATTAGTAAAAATAGTCCCAGGATGCTTTTTCTAAGAATGGTGAAGGATTGTGTTTCAAAAAATAGATTGGATACCTTGGATATTAAGGGTGATGAGCAGTTTCAGACCTTCCAATAATTGGATCAAATCTCTGGTTACATACATAGTCATGTTTTTATTACATTTCTATTAAAGAAAGCTTTCATTTCTATAATTGAAATACATTATAGGATATGGGCACTAATATTTCATGGTTATA